ATTCTTCTGCTTTATTTGGGGAATTTGGAAAGCTCTTTTGAAAACAATCCAAAGAAGATTACTTACTGAATACAAAGCAGGATATGGAGGAAACAAGAATTTGGCCTGAAGAAAGTGCAATTACCAGTTAAGAATATAAAAGAAATGGAGAGACAGGGAGAAAATAAAAGATGTTAGACATAGAACTACCTACCTGGCCCAGCTGTCATAATATATTCTTGAAAGAATGAGTAGGGGCACAAAGAGAATCTTGTACATTGGAATTAATTTTATCACTAATTGTATCGTTAATTGTATTTTCATAGTAGCTGTAAGGTGAAAACAACCAAAATGTCCATCAACAGTGAATGTTGTTGTTAGGTGCATCAAGTCAATTACAACCCATAGCAATCCTATAAACAACAGAGCTGAATCTGTTGTCTTATCCTGTGCCATATGCACAAACTCTGACACGCTTAAGCCCATTGCTGCAGTAAACCCACCTTGTTGATAACCCACCTCTTCTCCATCCTTCACCTTCCCAAGCATGATGTTCCTCTCCAGAGCATAACCTCTCCTAGCAACATGCTCAAAGTATGAGACAAAACTTCATCATCTTTGCCTTCAAGGAGATCTCTGGCTGCACCCTCTCCAAAACATTAATGTTTTCTTTTGGCAGTCCATGGGATCTTCACTTGTCTCCAGCATCACAGTTTAAATGGTCAATTCTTCTTCTGTCATTGCAAGTGACCAAAAAGGCCATACTACAATACTAATGAACTACTTACAAAAGGACAAATATCATGTGATTTCACTGTATGAAATGGGCAAATGTATACTGACCAGAGTTTATTAGCGGTTATCAGAAATAGGAGGAGTTCTTGTCATGTAGCACGTAGGGAGTTGCACGGCTAACCCAAAGGAGGAAGAAACAGAAAGATGGCCAGTCGCCTTCTGTGCCATTAACAGCTTCTGAAAACTCACTGAACCGTCGTCTGTGACTCATTTACAGTTTAAGGGCAAAGAGGTTTTGTTCAGCAATAGGAGGGAAGGAGAAGAAAAATGTTGGAAGTTACTGATTTTCTTTTAATGATAATGGAAGAATTTAGAGAAGGATAGTGGTAATGGTTATATAATATGAAAAGTAATAATAATCTTAGAATCATACATGTAAAATTGTTGAATTGCTAAATGATTGTATGTGTGTATAGTATCCATACACATACAAGGAAGACCTGTTAATAATACCACTATCATTCAAATTTATACACCAACAATCAGCACCCAAAGAGGAGGAAATAGGTTATTTACACTAACTTATGCAGTCAGAAATCATTCAAACATGCAACCAAGATAGATTCATGATAATGAGTGACTGAAATGCATAAGATGGGAGCCAGGAAGAAGGATCAGTAGCTGGAAAACATGGAATTGGTGACAGAAATGAAGCTGGAGATAGAATGATAGAATTCTGTACAATCAATGATTTATTAATAGCAAATACCTTTAATAAGAAACATAAACTAAGGCTATACACATGTATTTCACGTGATGGTATGCACAGGAATCAATATAGCAGTGAAAACTTGGCCAGGTACTCATATGCAGGTTCAAATTAAAACTAAAGAAGGTCAAATCAAATCCACAGGAATAAAAATTTGACCTTGAATTCCTATGTGAATTTAAACACCAACTCAGGAACAGGTTTGAAGCCTTGAACACTAATGAGTGAAGACCAGATAAGCTGTGGGAAGATATCAAGAATATCATCCATGAAGAATGCAAAACGTCATTACAAAAAAGAAGAAAAGACCAGAATAGATATCAGAAGAGACTCTGAATATTGCACTAGAGCACCGAGAAGCCAAAGCAAAGAGAAGAAATCAAGAAGTTAAGGAGATGAATAGAAGATTTCAGAGGGCAGCTCAGAAAGGCAAGGCAAAATATTATAATGAAATGTGCAAAGAACTGGAGTCCAAAAATCAAAAGGGCTGTACTCATTCGATATTTCTTAAGTTGAAGGAACTAAAGAACAAATTCAAGCCTCGAGTTGTAATACTTAAGGATGCTATGGGTAGAATATTGAATGATCCAGGATGTATTAAAAGAAGATGGAAGGATTATACAGAGTCACTGTACCAAAAGGAATTGGCTGATACAGAAGAATTTCAAGAAACAACATATGATGAAGAGGCAATGGTGATGAAGGAGGAAGTTCAGGCTGTTCTGAAAGAATTGGCCCCAGGAAAAATGAGGCCCTAGGAATTGATAACATGCCAATTGACATATTTCAACAAACAGATGCTGCTCTGGATGTGCTCAATCAGGTTGTGCCAAGAAATCTGGAAGATTGACTAGAAGAGATCTATATTTATTCCCATTCAAAAAATAAAAAAAAAAAGGTGACACAACAGAGTGAAAATTATCGAGCAGTTTCACTAATATCACACACTAACAAAATCCTGCTGAAGATTATCCAGAAACTACTGGAACAATACATGGACAGAAAACTACCAGAAATGCAAACTGAGTTTAGAAGAGGCCGTGGCACTAGAGACATTATCACCAATGTCAGACTGACCTTGGCTTAAAGACTATCTTTTTCCCTTTTAGCAGTTGATGGGTTTGAAGCAGCGGAGAAATAACCATGCCTTAACAGCAGAATTCCTTATGGACTACACCACTGGAACTCCTTTTATGTGTGTGAGTGTGCATGTGTGATTATGCATTTGTGTGTGAGCACCACAAATACACAAAAAGTATACTGGTTTTCAAAACAATCTTCTGACAGTCATCTTTATTCCACCACCATCTCCACATGGCTATAATACCACATCTTAAAAGTCATTATTTTACATAGGTTGTCTTTTATTTTGGTCAATAAGGAGATAAGTCAGTGGGTGGTTTTTTTTTTTTTGGTGTGTTGTGGTTTGTTTATTTTTTCTCCAGAAGAAAATATTCTTTGTTTTTTTTAATAAAAAATTACCTTTTAGGTGTCCTGTGCATAATATTTGTACATAATGAATTGGTTCTTTCCTTTATAGGCCCTCTACTCCTACATTTAAAAAGTTATTGCCCATATTTTCCTACTTATATGTTTTTTTTCTTTCAGTTAAGTTCTTTTTTAATAAGCTATGATTGCTGAACCTCTGGCAGGGTTTCAAAGGCAGTTAATCACGCCTTAGGTATTGCAGTGCAGCTTCATACCACTAGGCCACTAGAGCTCCCTATGAACTCCGGTATGAGGTAGAGAATGTAGTTATTATCCTTCTTCCCTCATTTAATTCCTTACTCTTCTGCTTCTTTTCCTTTTTACTCTGTTATGTCTTTTTTAAGCTAGGGAACTCTGGTGGCCTGGAAGGTAAGCAGTTGCATTACCAACGCTAAGGCACATAACAACAACAACCAGTTGTTTCAACACTGTTACATGTACCATTTTTATCATTATTATAATTTTATCATTATAATTATTAACTCATTATACCTGTAATCCTATACTTCTCTTACATAGAAAAACCTATAATTTCTAGAGTTTGTACTATTTTAACTTTGTATATTTTAATACCTGCTTGAAAACTTCTTATTTGATATAACTTTTCTGTTCTTGCTTATTCATTCTTCCAGTTAAACTTTGAAACATTTTCTTTTTAAAAATCTATTATCTTGGAAACATTTTGAGTAATATTTCTAAAGCAAAAGGAATAAAATAATTTTTGAGGTTTTATGTTGTAGTTTATTGCATCTATCGATATATTTGAAAGACAAGCGAGATATACCTATAATATTCAGTTCTTTCCAATGATTAAAATATTTTGCTAAATATTTTTAGTTTTTCATATGTCTTACACATGTGTAGGTAAGTTTCTTCGTAGCTATTTTATACTTTTCCATACTTTTATATATGAGATTTTTCCTTAATATGATTTCATCTGATGATGGTTGATACATATGTAAATTATTAACCTATTTTAAGTCTGTCAATTTTAACGAATTGAGTCTTTCCCCTCTAAATTTTGTCATTTCCTCTTCTTTTGTATTATCGAGAAATTCCATAACAGTGTTGACTGTCAAGGGTATTTTGTTGATGAATTTTACCACTTGGTCTTTTTGTTAAAATTTTCACTTCACATTAGGCACAGTTTGCCCTATCCTACTGAGAAAGGGAATAAAAAAAATTTCCTCTGTAGTTCATCATGTCAGAATGAAAGGGTTGAAGATCATTATCAGTAATTCAGTTGGTGAAAGAATAATTTCGCTTGAGCTCTTTGTACTTTGTTGTTGTTGTTGTTATGTGCCGTCGAGTCGTTTGCGACTCATAGCGACCCTATGTACAACAGCCCTAAACCGTGCTCTATCCACAACCTTTGTACTTTAGCTAAAATAAATTAACTGCTTGTTTTTAACAGTATATTATTTTTCATATCATAAATATATTTTTCTTTAGGAACCTAAGTACTAAATGTATTTGTTGTTCTGTTGGATAGAAACTGACTCATAGCTGACCCTCTAGCAGGCTTTTGGAGCCTGTGAATCACAAAGGAGGACGTTGCCTGTCTTTCTCCCACTTAAGCAGCTGGGGGAATCGAACTTTTTGCTTTTGAGCTGGCAGCCTTACTGCTAAGCTGTGGTAGTCTGGTGGTAAGAAGATACACTACCTCAAATACACCAGCTGCTCCACAAGAGAAACATGGTAGTCTCCTCCCATATGACTTACAGGCTCTGAAAACTGGATGGCTCAGCTTTGAATTGGTTCTGACTCAGTGCCTCACAACATAAAAAATACACTAGCTTCAGCATAAAACAAAGATTTTCTAGACCTCTGTAATTTTTGTGATTGTCCTATGCATAGGAATGCTATTAAGCAACCCTAAACAACATCAGTTATTGAATATTGCACTTTTATAGGGTTGGAAAACTTATTTAAACGCCTGGTTAAGAGTATTATCTTTATAAAGTTCATAATCAATATGAAAGGATCATTGTAAAGATTTTAATATATTAATTATTCTTTTCATTTTTAGTGTCTCAGCAGATGAAGTCAATTCACCATTATCACCCCTCACATGGCAGGTAAACAAGAAATTAAATTACTGTTTTATACTTTCTTTTGTTCTCATTTATTTAATTAACAGAAAGTATTTCATTACAGCCCTTAGAAAACCAAAAGGATCAAATTGATGAACAGCAGTGGCCAGAATCTCATCCTATAATCTGGCAGAGTGATGAAAGGAGGCGGAGCAAACAGATTAGGAAAGAATATTTCAAGGTATTCCATTACATTTTAAGTATGTACTTTGTTTATGTACTTGTTTACTTTTATCAAGTTTTCTTTTGCATTAACCAGGTTAAATATAGCTCTCTAGCTAAGACAATATTGTCTTTTACCTTGATTTTACACACTTAGGTCATATTATGAAATTATACATACAAAATACCAGTAATAAAGAATAATTAAGAATGAGTGCAATAACAACAACAGCTCAGTGTATAAACTGGTTGTTACGTGCCATTGAGCTATGACTCATAGCAATCCTATGAGGTTAAGATAGATCTGAACCTTGACCTATTGTGCACCATCCTCAAGACCTCTGTCCTGCTCAAGCCCTTTGCTTCAGTCTCTGTATCAATTATCTTGCTGAGTGTCTTCCTCTCTTTTTCTGACCCTTCACCTTTCCCAGCATGATGTATTTTTCCAAGAACTGGCCCCCTCCTGACAACATGCACAAAGTATGTGAGACAAAATAATAACATCCTTGTCTATAGGGGGCATTCTAACTGCATTTCTTCCAAAACCAGATTTAATTTGTTCTTTTGACAGTCCATGGAATATTTTGTACTCTTCCAGAACACCATAATTCAGAGGACACTGCAATTCAAAGGCATCTATTCTTCTGTCATTTTTATACATGGTCCAACTTTAAGATACCTAGGAAGTAATTGAAAATGCCATGGCACCCCTAGTCTTTAAACTGGCATCCTTGCTCTTTAACACTTTAGAGAAGTCCTTGACAGCTGACTTCCCCAATGCAATATGTCTTTTGACTTTCTGTTTCTTTTTTTAAAAGTTTATTCTTTTTTTAATATTTTTAAAAATAATTTTAATGAGCATTTACAGAGATTTTGGATTTCCATTCATTCATTGCTGCACTTCTCTCCCCACCCAGCACTCCCCCACCACCCCCCCAGTTCGCTCCTCTCTTTCAAAAGTAAAAGAAACACTCGTACACAATCCCCCCACACCCTTCACACCACCCCAAGAACATTCCACTATGCAACCTTAATTGTGGACTCTTGTGATAACCATAATACCCTATCATATATCGCTTTTAAATTATTCAGTCCCTCATCTGTTTCAGTGCAGTATACACAATTTATCCAATTTTTCTCAGTCTTACCCCAACCCTGCTATCAATCCCATTTTACAACAGTGGCACCATGCAATATTTGTCCTTTTGCAACTGAGATATTTCACTCAGCATAATGTCCTCCAGGCTCACCCATTTTGAATAATATTGCATGAGTTCCTTGTTTTTCAATGCAGTGTAGTATTCCATTGTATGAATATACCACAGCTTCTCTATCCATTCGTTTGTTGATGGGCACCTGGGTTGTTTCCAACTCTTGCTATTGTGAACAGAGCCGCGATAAACATGGGTGTGCATATATCTGCTTGGATGTCAGTTTGGGTCTCTTTGGGGTATATTCCCAGTAGTGGAATTGCTGGGTCAAATGGTATCTCTACTTCCAACTTTTTGAGAAAGCGCCATACCGCCTTCCACAGTGGTTGCACCATTTTACAATCCCACCAACAGTGAATAAGTGTTCTAGTTTCTCCACAACCTCGCCAGCTTTCTAACTGTTTCTAATGGGCATTAATTGTGGATCCAAGTCAAATGAAATTGTTACCAACTTCAAACTTTTCTCCATCTATTTGGCCTAGTGGTGAGGATTTTTGTTGTTGATTTGAAGATTGTAGTCTTTTATCTTCTTTATAGAGCGGTATTGATATTATTGAACAATATCATTAACATAACAACCACATAAATTTTAACTGATTATTATTAAAAAAGGGCTGGAACAGTGCATTGACAGGGGACTGCTGTTATTCAGACGAGGACTTAGAAGGAGGGATAACATCATTGCTGATGCCAAATGGATCTTGAATGAAAGTAGAGAATACCAGAAAGATGTTTACTTGTGTTTTATTGATTAAGTTGTTTGACTGTGTGGATCACAGAAGATTATAGATAATTTTGAAATAAAGAGAATCCAAGAATACCTAATTGTGCTCATGGAAACCCTGTGGATATACCAGAAAGCAGTTGTCTAAAGAGAACAGCAGAACACTAGATGGTTTAAAATTTGGAAGGTTGTGTATCAGGGTTGTATTGTTTCTCCATACTTATTCAATCTGTATGCTGAACAAATCATTTGAGAAGCTGGACTATATAAAGATAAAGAAGAATATGACATCAGGATTGGAAGAAGACAAATCAGCAACAACCCATGGTATGAAGATGACCTAACATAGGGGCAAAAAGTGAGAGAACTTGAAGCGCTTATTAAAGAAAATTTAAAAATTATGCTACAATTATTTTAAAGATGAATGTATCCTACACTGGTTAAAAAATTTATGGTGTTTTAAAAGAATTTCAAGAAAAGTACTTTTCACAAATTGTTGTTATTATGTACCATCGAGTCAGACTCAACCCATAGCTGATCCTGCAATGGATTTTTTGGAGGCAGTAAATCTCACAAGAAGAGATCGCTCATCTTTTTACCATAGTGGAAGCTAATGGATTCAAACCACATGTGTGCCTTTGATTTGACAACACAACTCTTTACCACTAGGTGACCAGATATCCGTGTAATTGATGCATATTTAATTATTACTGTGTGTCAGAGTGTCTCGGGATAGAGCAGAGTTCAGAACTATTATACATAGGGTCGCTATGAGTCGCAGGTGACTCAGTGGCACATGACAATATATAAATCAATACTGTTTTCAAATCTGAATATTCTTGAAAGTGGTTTTATCTTTATGCCCAAATATTTCTTTTTCTTATTATCTTAGTAGATTTTTAAAGAAACTCTGTTCTTGTAGCTAAAACAAAAGTTATCATCATCTGAAATGAGGAAGTTTTTAATGAAGTTTTATAGTAGTCAACTTGCAAGAGATTTTGTTTCTATCTTTTGTAGTTAAGGTGGTTGGCTAGTTGTTATTGTTTTTGGATGTTATCAAGTTGGCTCTGCCTCTCAGTGACTCTACCTCAATACTTTACCACCCTCTCATGCTTTACTGTTTCATCTGTTATGTCAGTCTATCTTGCTGAAGATCTTTTCTCCCTGATCTTCTAGTTTAATATGCATGATGTCTTTCTCCATGCACTGACTTCTCCTGATGTTGTTGTTCTTGTGTGCTGTTGAGTCAGAACTGACTCATAACTGACCTCTGGCTTGTTTTCAGAGGCTAAAAATTGTTCTAGAGGACATTGCCCATCTCTCTCCCATGGAGCAGGCTGGTAGAGTCAAATGGCAGCATGCCCAAACTATGAGACAAATCGTCACTATCCTCATTTCTAAGAAGCTTTTTTTGCTTCACTTCTTCCTAGACAGATGTGTTTTTAGTAGATCAGCTAAATATGCAGAGAACAATCCTAAGAATTTTGTGGTGGTAATTGTTGTTCTGTACAACTGAGCTGCCTGTAACTCATAGTTACCCCATGCACATAGCTCTGAAGCCTCCCCTGTCCTGAGCCAGTCTCACTGACTCCGACACACCTACCCTTATTAACCCAGTTATCATGTCAATCCGTCTCATCCTGGGTCTTCAACTCCTGCACTGTCCTTCCACCTTTCCAAGCATTATATCCTAGCCCAGAGTATGGGAGATAGGGCTTCAAAATCCTAGCCTCTAAAGAGAAACATACGTTCACCCTCTCTAAGACAGACATAGTTGTTTTCTTGGTGGTCCATGGTATGTTCAGTACTCTTCTCCAGCACCACAACTCAAAAGCATTGATTCTTATTCTATCATCCTTAGTCCAGATCTCTGGTGCATAGCAAGTAAGTGTGAAGACTGTGCCCTGGATCAGGCACACCTTAGTCTCTAGACTGACATTGTTGCTGCACAGTACTCTGGAGGGATCCCTGACAGCAGATTTTCCCTGTGCAATTTATCTTTTGATTTCCAGCTGCTGGTGCCAAGAATGTTGATTGTGGAGCTCAGCAAACTATAATTCTTAACAACGTCAGTTGGCCCAGTGGTGAGAATCTTTATTTTCAAAGCTTTTCAAAATCCATTATTTGTATTTGTGACTCAAATGGAGAGTGAAAATAAGCCTCCTTGCTTTATGATCATAACACTCTTGACATAATCCAGTATGAGGTATGCTGTTAGCTGAAGGCTGCAAGTGGTTCAAATCTGCCAGCATCTCCATGGGAAAAGATCGTCCAGTCACTTCCCTTTGCAATTTATAGCCTTAGAAACAAGAGAAACGATTGCTGTGAGAAAAAATTGACTTGACAGCAGTGAGTTTTTAAATTTCCTGTTCCCTTAAGTCTATGTTTATATAAGGACATAGTTCCAGGCTTTTAAAAATATATTGCATTAAATTGTATGGCTTTGTATAATTTCTTAATAATAGAGCTTTACTTTTTATTGTGTAAGCATATCCAGTATACTGAAGGTTGGGTGTTAAAGTTGCTGAGAAGTCAAAATAAATAATTAAAGTGTGCCTTATATTCATGATCACTAGCAACACGTTTAATTATAACCCACATAAAGTGGATTTGGAGAGAAGTAATTTAAGTGAAATCATGTGATTGGGAAATAATTTCAAAAAGAAATGTAGTTCTTCCCAATAATCACAAGATGTCAGTGTTAGGACACTGAAAGAATTTATTATGCCAACAATTATTCCTAAGAGTTTAAAAGGTATTCTAAAATCGAAATTAGACTCATAGTGACTCAGTGAACAACAAAACAAAGCCCTGTCTGATTCTCTACCATCTGCGCAATCTCTGTTGTCTTTAAGCCCATTGTCACAATCACTCTGTTAATCCATTTTGATTAATGTCATTTTCTCTTTTGCTCGCTCTACTTTTCCAAGCACAAAGTCCATCTTTTGGGACTGGATCCTCCTGATAACATCCTCAGATTACTTGAGATGAAGTCCCACAATCCTTGGATCTCAGGAACATTCTGGTCACACTGCTTCCAAGACACATTTTCTTACTGTTTTATTTGGTAGTTTTCTTTGACCCCCACATTTCAAAGGCACCAATTCTTCTTCAGTCTTTTTAATTATGATCCAGCTCTCACATGCATATGAAGGAATTGAAAAATACCATGGCTTGATTTAGACACATCCTTAAAGTGTTATCCATGCTGTTTAGTACAAATGGATATATCTTAGAGAGTGCTCCTTGCAGACAAAGATCACGAAGCTTTGCCTTACAGCATTTTGTGAGTATGTTGCTAGGAGGGGCTATTCCTTGGAAGGGGACATCAAGCTTGGAAAGATGTAGAATCAGCAAAAGAGAGGAGGACTCTCAGCCAGGTGGATTGACACAGTGACTGTAGCAATGGGCTCAAATGTTTTAGAAATGTTCAGATCTTTTGTTCATAGGTTCGCTGTGGGTTGTACTTGACACCTAACAACAACAGCAGTGCCTCCAAGAGTTCCCTTGTAGAAAATGAGAATTCTCATAACTCTCATGGAAGACAATCTGTGTGCTGAGCAAATAAACCAAGAAACTGGAATATCTGAAGAAGGATGGCATCAGGACTGGAGGAAGACTTAGCAACAACCTGCAATATGCAGATCATACAACTTTGCTTGCTATAAGTGCAGAGGAGAGGACTGGGAGCACTAACTGAAGAAGTTGAAAAGATCACACCTCAACATAAAGACAAAGTAAAATTGTTATAAATGGACCAATAAATAGCATGATAAGCAGAGAAATGCTCAAGTTGTCAAGAATTTTATTTAGATTCACAATCAACACCTGTGAAAGCAGCATCAGAAAGGAACAATGGATTGCATAGCTCAAGTATGCTGCAAAGGACCTCTTTAGAGTTCTAAAGAGTAAAGATGCCATTTTAAAGATGAGCCTAACACAAGCCATGGTATTTTCCAGTTGCTTCATAATTAATTAATCATTATCATTAATGCATGATTTTGTTGTTGTGTGCCATCAAATTGGGTGCGACACATAGTGGACCCTCCAGTGGGTTTCCAGAGGCAGCTTAATCACACGAGGGGAGACTGCGTATCCTTTTCCTGCCAAGCTGCTGGTGGATTCGAACCTTGTGCCTCTGAGATTGCACCACTTCTTACCATTAGGCCACCAGAGCTTAATGAATGAATTGTGATCATTAATGATTCCAGGCACATCCTCAGTAAAATAGTGGGCTGCAATCCCAAAGGCACACGGTTTGAGGGCACCAGCTGCTACATGGGAGAAGGATGGGAAGTCGCCTTCTGTTCCATTAACTGCCTCTGAAAACCTGCCAGAGGGTCAGTTATGGGTTGGTTCCGACTCCATGGTACACAACAACAACAAGTGAAAAGAAAGAAGGAACGTCAACAAGGTGGATTGACAAAGTGGCTGTAACACTGTGACCACATTTCATTTCACTCTTGTACTTGGGGTCACTATCAGTCTTGCCATCCAACTGGATTTTAGATACTTACTCAGTGGTATTTAACAACATCAGCAATGCTGCTATAATAATTGCCAGCTGGTGGCATAGTGGTGAGGTATGCAGTTTGAATCCACCAGTCACTCCACAGGAGAAAGATGAGAAATGTCATCCTGTGAAATTTATAGGCTCTGAAAACCTGCCGGAGGATCAGTTATGAGTCAGCTTTGACTTGAGGGTACATAACAACATTGTCATTACCAATATTTCATCCTGTGTACATAACGAGTTATAAGCTAAGAGTTGAAACTAACTTAACAGAATCTAGCAACAAACAATAATAGTAGTATTTCTGGTTAATTTATTTCCTTAAAATGTGTGTAAAATAATTTCATAAAACTGTCAATGAACATTGCCTATACTTGGCGTGAATTAATGTGCTCAAGGAGAAATAAATATGTACTTTCAATATTTTTCAGTATAAATCATCAAGGAAGAGTTCAAGTGGCAATGAAAATGATGAGGTGAGAAAAGAGGGTAATAGCAATGATTTGGCATGTTTCCTTTTCATATTTAATCGGACCAATCAGTGCAATCCATGTTTCAGCTTCTCTACCATTGATTTAATGTATGTGATTTCCGTGATAATAAAAAAATGGTTGTTAAAAAATTATAAATTTAGTCAAATTTTATAGAATAAGATTTCTAATAATTTCGTTTTGGAATTTTAACATCATTCATCTTAGATTGATAATTTTTTAATGTTAATTATGTCATTTCACTATCATTTATCTTCTCAAATCAACCTGATGATCAGTAGTGTTTTTTCAAGGAATTTATTAATCTCTTCCCATAAATCCTATTTACCATTTTAAATTTTAAGCTGATTTTTCTACCATAGCATTTCACATAGCATTATTAAAATTATAACATTTTTATCACCATGAATAAATAAGCTTTATTTATTTCTGGTTAAGGGTGGTGGTGGTGGTGTTAGATACCATCGAGTTGACTACTACTCGTAGGAATAACAGATCTGAATCCTATCCTATCCTACCCTGTGCCATCCTCATCTCTGAGGCCATTGCTGCAGTAACTGTGTGAATCCATCTTGTTGAGTTTTCCTTTCTTTTTTTGACCCTCCATTTCTCTTAGCAACATGCCCAAATGATGTGAGATGAAGCTTCACTATCCTTGCCACCAAGGAGCACTCTGGCTGCACTTTTTCAAAGATATATCCATTTGTTCTTTGGACAGTCCATAGAAAATGCAGTGCTCTTCTCCAACACCACACTCCAGAGACATCAAGTCTTCTTTTGTTATCCTTATTCATTATCCAGCTCTTAGATGCAATACAAGTGATTGAAATGACCATGCCTGAGTCAGGCACACCTGAGTCTTTAAACTGACTGACATGATTTGAACTGTCATTGGTTGAAGGTTGTTGTTAATTGCTGTCGAATCGTAGGTGACTCATATAGACCCAATGAACGAAAGACCTGAAAATTTGTGTAACTTTCATCGTTTCTACAAGTTCATAGGGTTTCTGGAGGCAAGCCATTTTGGAAGTGGATGCCACTCCTGCTTCCAAGCTTGTTTTAATCAGGGAGCGCCACCAAACACTGTCCACCATGGATAACCATTATCGCATTTGACACATCAGTGTCAGTGTTTAGCATCACAGCCACTATGAGTTACCTCTGTACAGCAAATGGACAGACCAGTACTAGGCCACTTAGAAGAATATTTGACCAAATTTGATGTTGGATGTTAAGTTGTTGGTCCTTGTGTTCAGGTACTGTAATAGCACAGGGTAAATAGTTAATATAGTCACATTAATCTTTCCCCAGCCTAGATGTTCATCTCTCTATAGGCTCTGGAGTAGTATTTATTGGGATAAATGACATGCAGTTATGCCAATAATTAATCATTAAGCATGAATTTCATGTTTTATGTGAGTCCATTTGATAGTTTTAACATGTAAGTGAGCACAATCAATTCACCAACCCCAACCTGTCTTCAAAATACTGTTCCTCTGGGTGTGGTCTGCTAAATGATTTATTAGGTGACTCTTAAGACTTCAGAGAATAACACCTGTGTACATGCTGATGCCTCTCCAATTAATTTCTGTAGTCCACCTTGTCCCCTGAGCTTCAATCCCTCATCTTGTATCTGTTTTTCTACCTGCATAGAATCATAACCATATCTATTCATTGTCAATATATAATAGTGCAGTGTTCTCACTCTTGCCTGCGTGTTAGAATTACCAGGTGAGCTTTGGAAAATACTGTTGCCTCAGTCTCATTCCCAAACACTCTAAATGTATTGGCCTAGGCAATGCCATTTTAAAATGTTTCTTCTGTGAATTTAATGTGCAGCTAAGATTGGCACCCTCCACCATTCAACTAGAGCAGGGATTGGCAAGCTGTCCAGTCCATGAGCCAATTGTAGTCTGCCATCTGTGTAAAGTTTTGTTGGAAGACAGCTGCATTCATTTATCTGTGACTCCTTGTGTGCCAGTGTGCAGAGTTGAATAGTTACCACTGTGACTGGTATTGCCCACAAAACCCAATATATTTACAGTTTTGACTTCTGCAGAAAACGGTGTCAACGCCTGAGGTAGTGGTTTCAGCTTGAACACCCTCCTCCCCATATTATTACTCTTGACTGCAGCATCTAATAATAAGTCGCCAACATCTACTAGGCATCTTTTATACAGATATATTTTTAATCTATTCCTCATTTTCATTTCTACCCTTTGGCACATTCCCTGATCATTTCTTGCTGAAAACACTACTATAGCTTCTTTACACTTCTCTTTCTCCTATCTGTTCTCCTTACTGCAGCCAGAACGATGGTTTCAAAGAACAAGCCATTCCTTCGTCTAGAAACCTTCATCATCCGCATTTCAAAACTTGCCCATCCTTTCACTTTACTCTCCAGTGATCCAGAACTACTTAAAGGTTTTCTGTGTTTATCCTTCTATGTATTTTTTTCAATGATTTTGTTCCTGTTATACATTAATTTTGAAACGTTGCTTTCTTCAGTTTAGTAAACACTCAATTACTTGATTCAGTTTTTACTTTTTCAGAACACCATACTTACTTGCTTTTCTCTACCATTATTCTACATTCTATCCTAATCTGTATCTCATGATATGCTGTACATTTAGTTCTGACATTAGACTGAAAAGTTCATGCTACCTGTATGTTTGAATCTCTCTGTTTCCTAGATTGAGAGATCTCAGAAGCAAACTGTCCTGGAATGGATAGTTTACTAACTTATTCTCAGTGTCTGACACATAAGTCAGTAAACATTTGGTTTTTATACATGCCATCTTGTTTGTATAAATTTGTTTCACTGTGTGCATCATAAATATGAAATACACATTTCTACATTCCATAAATGTCATATACCTTGACATTTAACCTTACGTGTGCACTTAGGTGGTATGCACATGGCAAGTTAAATGCCAGGTTGTTTGTATTTTGTAGTCAGTAGAAACAAAAACACTAAATCAAACCTATTATCATTGAGTCCACTGTCCTATAGGTTATTGTGGAAGTACACTGTCACATTTTTTGCCTGCAGAGCAGTGAGTGGGTTAGTACTGAAAATGTTTCTATTTAATCATCAAGCACTTTTACCACCAGCTCAACTCAGCCAGCTCAACATTGCTGTTCAGTTGAAATCAACTCATAGATAACCCATCAGCAGGTTTTCAGAATTGCATGGGAGGTGATTGCCTATCTTTCTCCTTTGGAACAGTTGGCAGATTCAAACCACCTGCCTTTGAGTTGGCAATTCAACTCTGTAATCTCTTGGCAAGTGGGGTTCCCTTAGGCTGCTGCTGTTATTATTGTTATGTACTGTTGGGTCAGAACCAACCCACAGCTGACCCTCCAGAGGCAGGTAATTACAACAGGAGGAGATTGCAGATTTGAACCATGTGCCTTCAGGTTAGCATTACAGCTCCCTACCACTAGGCCACCAGAGCTCTTGCTCTCTTAGGCTGTAGAATTAAAAACGTCAGGAATGATTTAGTGCTCTTTATGCAGTAAAATTCTTTATAATCCTGGGGTGGGGTGGGCGGGTAGAAAAGTGCAACGATGAATGAATAGAAGTCCAAAATCTCTGTAGATGTTCATTGAAATGGATAAAAAAAGTTCTTGATAATCCTATAAAACCTATGTTGTTGTTGTTATGTGCCGTCAGATCACCTGTGATTCGTAGTGACGCTATGTAAAACAGCTCTGAAGCCTGTCTTATCCTGATCCAGTCTCACTGACTGCGACGCACCTACCCTCATTACCCCGTTCAACTAAAATCTCAGTTCGTTACCATTTACTCAACGTTAACTCAAAACTGACTCTCTAGTGGGTTTTCAGAGGCTACAAATTCCATAGGAGGAGGTCACTCATCCTTCTCCCAGCCATTGCTGGATTTGAACTTCCAGAGAGGTGCCAAGTTTGGGTTAACACCACAGGGCCCTATGGACTATGCTACCAGAGCTTCCCAAACCACTATTAGATAACATAGACTTTCCCAGATGAATTTGCTTTTTGATATTTTGCAGGTTTCCATATACATGTGTCAGATTATGATACATCATTACTGTTTATTATCAGGATTAAACATATGTATACTTTTAAAAACAAATTTGAAAATTTTTTGATCAGTGAAATTTAAAGGAAATACATTGATGAGAAAATATTTGATGTGAGTAGATCATTGTTTTTAAAACTATACTTACAAATCACCTGGTGAATTTGCCGGAATGAAAAAATTCTGATTCAGTCAGGCTTGAGTGTGGCCTGAGATTCTACTTTTGGAACAAACACTCAAGGTTTGCTAATGCCGATGGGTCACAGACCACACTTGTATAGCAAGGGGCTAGATAGTATATTTTAGATTCTTCCTGTAAAAGTTGATCAAGAAAAAAAATCTGTTTTTCTTTTATACGTTTAAATCATCATTTATGTTTTAATTTCATCTTTCATCTTTTTATTTTTATATTTTAGCAAGACAGTGATATTGCTAATATGTCACCACAATCTCCAGTGTCATCTGAGGTACAAGTTCTGTTTTTGTATGTGTGTATTTGTAGGTTTCTTCCTTGCCTCTTTCTAACCTCATCTCTTTCTCTTGTGATTTATTCACTTAAATATTTTTTAAAATAATTTGTAGTTTATTTGTACAAACCTTCTAGTCTCTGAACATTCTAACTGCACAATTTTTGGGATAAATATTAATAGCAGATGCTAATTCTTTGCTAAGGAATTGAAAGTTTAAAGTGCGTATGATCTCAGGATGAGTTCATTTTTTTAACTCTGTTGTCTGATGCATTCATACTTTGAAATAAATGATAGATTTGAAGAATGAGTTTTAAACTTTAAATTTGAGAATAAAAGTAATTCAGCATTGTGCAATGGCCTTTGGTTTTTCTTGTAACCAGTTAGGCGTGAAAGCAATGCAAAAGAAGTGTCCTTTTTCCACGAGAAACATTCCTGTTGTGGGTTGTTCCTATCGACAAGAGGGTACACATCTCCTGGAGTTAAAGACCCAAGGGAAAAGGCCCTGGAAGAATAAGAACATATGAAGGCTACATTTTGAAATATATCAGTCAAGTTCTTTTGTGGTTTTACTAGCTAATAGTTCTATGAAAAGATAAATTTAAAATACTCTAATTAATATTGTTACTACCTCAGATGACCTTATTGAGTATTCTGAAAGTATATTTATACTATAAATACATGATTATGAATTTATTTGTTGAATTGGAGACATAAATGTTGAGTCCATTAAAATTAACTTCATAAACGTGATTAAGTATTATTTTGTTATACATATAAGTGGTTTTTATAAAACACCAAGATATTGTTTTCGGGGATTAATTTTATTATAAGTCATCTAAATGCATTTGAACACAAGTGTGATAAATGTGTTCCTAACCTATTTATATGGCAAAGTTTTATAAATTCTTTTAGGAAAAAACCCCACAAATCCTAAAACAAACTTAAAATAGAATATCCTAAAAGTTGTTCTTTCATGCTTTATTAATCCTTTCTTTTCAGTTATGACCAATAAATGCACGTCAGCACTTATTTGCCTTCTTGTTTTATAAATATCTATGTTCACAGATGAGAATATTAATGCCAACCTCATCAATATTTTAGAAAATATTTTGCTTGCTGCTGGACAGGTGGACTTGTGTCTTTAAACCAAATGATGAAGACACACCATGAAAGTTGCAGGTGGAAAGGATGATGAGCATATGTTTTAATAGTGTTCAGCTTAAACTGCTTATCACATGTTAAACAACAGATGATTTAATCAACAGAAGTTTAATTGCTTCAGTTTCATCTATAAAATGGAAATGGTAAAAATAGTGTGCTGTTTTGCAGTTAGCAAATTGTGTAATTGTACATTTGAGTCTAACTCAGGTTTCATAAGGTAGGTATCAACCTCATAATTTTCTAGCTGAAGAAACCAGTCACTTTCCCAAAGACCAGAGTCAGTAAATAGCAGAGAAGTGACTAAAGCCCCACCAAAACCTAAACTCAAAGGCATTGCTGGCAAACTGATTTCCAACTCAAAGCACCACTATAGGACAGAGCAGAGTGTGTTCAAAACCTGTAAAACTTTGAAGAAGCAAACTGCTACATCTTTCTCATGCTGACTGATTGGTGAGTGAACCAGCATGCAGCTGAGCGCTTAGTCACTGTGCCACCAGGGCTTCTTCAGGCCCTACATGTTCACAAAATTTTGCAGATTAAATGAAATGCTGCTGAGACTGTAATTAGTTAATAATTAAGATTGTAATTTGCTTTTATTTAAGTTGTCACTTTAAGCTCCAAAACCACATTTTAAAGAAGTAGTCACAAAATATTAAATATTTTGCACAAGACATAGACTTTCTGACTCCACGTTTTGGTTTTTTGAAAGTGTACCATCATTCTTTCACAGCATATCAATCTGAAAGCACTTGATAGCAATGCATATTTTTTAATTTTTAATTTTCTAAATTCTTTACTAGTTTATTTACAAAATTTGAATACATTGTTTTCAAGAATATATTCTTTCCATTTCCCTCACCCCCCACCCATCAAGTTGTACCACCCCATGATTAATCCCCCCTCTCCCTGCACATCCTCATCCGTCTGCCTCCAAACTTTCCCACTGCTCCTGGATCCTTATACTCATTCTACAATAATGGTTTTATACAATATTTATCCTTGTGGGACTGAGTTATTTAACTCAGCATAAATCTTTCCAGTTCCTCCCAAGTTAGGTACTAATTTACAAAATATTGCTCCTGCATGCTGCATAGTATTCCAGTGTATATTTAAATAGAAGAGATTTGTAATCTCTCACTTGGCAAACTGTATTAGTATGAATACCTTGATTTCCCTCAGATTATACACTAAGTACATAAGTATACTCTTAGTAGATACTGTAAAAAAGCTACTTGTTCATTTCGGTTTTAATTGCCACTTGACTTTTGGTGAGACTTTAAAATAGTTTGCCTTATAAAAAGAATTGTGTTGTTATTGTACGCTGTTGAATTGGAAGACTCATAGCAGGATTTTCATATCTTTATATACTTCAGTAATGATTTCCTTTTCCATGTTCTTTATACTATGAGAGACCTATGATTAAGTGAACTAAGTACTTAGTGACTTTTTGAAATGTGGTACTTTGATTAAAAGTGTAAGTCACCTTTTACTACTAATCGTAGAACAAATAAGTACTTCTCAAAATTGGATAAGAATAACACCTTGATACTTTTGAAAGAAAACAAGATTTTACTTTTTTTTGGTTTTAGGAATATGATAAAACTGATAGTTTTTCACATGGCCCCTTTGGCTTGAAGCCTAGATCAGGTAAGTACATGTTATATAAACTAAATGTACTGGTTCTCTAGTGAAATGGGTTTCCCAATTCAATGGAATTGTTCCTTAGATTTAAGTACACATTAATTCTTTCCGCTCTCCAAAAAATAATTTTCTCTTAACATTATTTGTCTTTCCAATACCCAGTCCCCACTTCTTTCTCTCTTCCTCTTTGCCTTCAAGCTCCTGAAACCTCGGGTTTTTTGCCTTCGATATACTGTAGTCTCATTTCTAATCTGCACTAATTATAGCACTCCATTATGTTGTGGCTTGAAAAAGAGATCTTTTCACATTTGGAAAGCTCAAAAGAAAATGGGTCCATGTTACTTGGCAAGGTAGTGAATGATAGTTTTTGGTCCTGAATCACTGTATTGACCTTAAAGAAGAATTTCCTTTTTCCTTATAAATGTGAAAGAGTAAATGGTGTTCAATAATAATTTTTCTTCTAGGTCATAATTTTCTGATAGTGTAAGAACAGCTCTTTGCTGGTAGAAATTGTTACCCTTTCCCCTCCCTCGATTACTTTCAGTTATTCAGAGGAGTTGAAATATATTCTGTAAACTATTTCAGAACATAGTGATATGTAATAGTATTTTCTGTCATTTTGCACTGCTTCGTTTTGTCCTGCCTCTTTCTCCACTGATGAGTGCTTTAGTATTAACTTTGTTAAGTAATAAGTTAAGACATTTCTGATTTCTTAGCTTTTAGCCGCTCATCACGCCAAGAATATGGAGCAGCAGATCCTGGCTTTACAATGAGAAGAAAGATGGAGCATCTGCGGGAAGAACGAGAGCAAATACGACAACTTCGAAATGTAAGTCAATTTTGACCATTCCAGTCTCCTTTGTGGAATATGAATCAGGAATATGAATTTTCTTTTCAGTGCTTTTTAATGTTTTGGATCATAGCCCAGCTAATAGGAGAAATATAGAGTGTGTTTAGGTAGCAAATCTGTAATTTCTACCCCTTTTCATTATAGAATCTTGAGACCAGGTTAAAAGTAATTCTGCCTGATGACATTGGAGCTGCACTGATGGATGGAGTTGTTCTTTGCCATCTAGCCAATCACATAAGGCCACGATCAGTAGCTAGTATTCACGTACCGTCACCAGCAGTGGTAAGTGTTGTGTAAAATTGGTAAATTTTCTAAAGGAAACAGAACTTCTTAGAATTGTTGTTAAGTAGTAATTCTCAGTATAATTTTAAACTTTGATTCATTTATGTTTGTAAAGACCTGAAAAATTATTTTTCTTCCTTTTCAGCCAAAACTGAGCATGGCAAAATGTCGAAGAAATGTAGAAAATTTTCTTGATGCATGCAAAAAATTGGGCGTCACACAGGTAAATTGTGATTAATGATCATTAATTTATTAATTATTAAGTTATTACATGCAAATAAGTATGTGATGCATTTTGTATATGAATGAATTACTAATGCTTCCTGAACCTGTAAATGAATAACTTCCTTGGTACCTTTTACTAAATTCTAAGTTTAACTGCACTAACTATTGAATTCTAAGCTGCTTTTATGAAGCAGTCACATATGAGGCATTTGCTAATAATGAGCATCATTTAATAAGCAAAATTTAGTGACCATATTACAACTTGGTTATGATACCATTGTTCCTTTTTCTTTAGTGAAGGATATTTGCACTTTTGATTGGAAGATTTACATTCAGTTCAACTATCAATTTACACTTTGTTTAAAAGAGCAAAGTAGAAGGGAGCGAGACAAACTTTGAAATTTGAAGCAGTGAATTGGTTTATATTTCGAATAGTGATTGTAATATTACAAATTGAAAGATTCAAGAAGAATTATAAAAGTTTGCTGAAGCTACACCACAGCAAGATGAAGGTAAACAACCCAATTGCAAAATGGGCACAGGATATGAACAGACACTTCACCAAAGAAGACATTCAGATGGCAAACAAACACATGAAGAAATCTTCAAAATCCCTAGCTCTAAGTGAGATGCAAATAAAATCAACTATGAGATATCATCTCTCCCCAGTAAGAATAGCACAATTTAACAGAACAGCAAACATCAAATGCTGGCGAGGTTGTGGAGAAACTGAAACCCTTAATCACTGTTGATGGAGGTGTAAATTGGTGCAACTACTATGGAAGCCTGTATGTGCTTTCTCAAAAAGTTGAAAATAGAAATACCATTTGACCCAGCAATTCCACTACTGGGAATATATCCTAAAGAAACCAGAACTGCCACGCAAGAAGATATATGCACACCCATGTTTATTGTGGCTTTGTTCACAATAGCAAAGAGTTGGAAACAACCTGAGTGCCCATCAACAAACCAATGGATAGAAAAGCTTTGGTACAGTGGAATACTACGTGGCATTGACTGACCCTGGAGGATATTATGCTGAGTGAAATATCTCAGTCACAAAAGGACAAATATTGCGTAGGGCCGGTGTTGTAAATCGGGACTGACATCATGGTTGAGGGAAGACAGAAAAGGAGGGGAGGAATGATGTATATTGCACTGAAACAGATGAGGGAGAGAACTGTTTAAAAGGGATATATGAGTGGATATTTTTGTCATTACAGAAGTCCAGAGTGAAGGCTGCATAGTGGAGTGGACTTGGGGGTGGGGGAAGAGATTGCACAATAATGAAAGAGTTTTTCTTTCTTTTCAAGGAGAAGAGTGAATTGGGAGGGAGAGGGTGGGTAGGGAGAAAAGTGCAACAATGAATGACTGGAAACCCCAAGTCTCTGTAAACTTTCATTAAAATTAATTAAAAAAATAAAAAAATTTTAAAAAGTTTTCTGAACCTAGAAAATAAAAATATTGGACTTTTGAAATTATCTATCTAAAACCTCAAGAAGGATGGAGAGTAAAGGATATAGCAAGGCTTCTTTAAGATGTTGTAAATAATGTCATTGAACAATTTTAATTAATATTATAAAACAGAATTTATAAGTTATATTTTAAAAAATTGTCACTGAGAGGACAAGGCACTGTTAGTGGATCACAATTAAGTTGCGTTTATTAACCTTATTTTAAAAGAGTATCATAATTAATTCTAGAGTCTACTTTCTCATCTTTCCTCAGTTAACTAATGTACCTTATGGTATTGAAATAAAATGAATTATTGAGTCATTTTGGACTCAAAACTGTTAATACTGTGATTACCTGAAGCTGGACTCTATGAAGAAGAATGTGGACTCAGTATCAGAAGAAGACTCATCAGCAACCTTATGTGGATGACACAACCTTGCTTGCTGAAAGTGAAGAGGACTTGAAACACTTTCTCCTGAAGAGCAAAGAACACAGACTTCAATATGGATTACATCTCAACACTAAAAAGACAGAAACCCTCACCACTGATAAGCAACATCATGATAAATAGAGAAAAGATTGAAATTGTCAGCAATTCCACCTTACTATGATCCACAATCAACACATTTGGTACCAGAAGTCAGGAGAACAGGAGACATACTGTGCTAGGCAAGTCTTCTGTCAGGGCCCTCTCCAGATTACTGAGGCACAGTGGTGTCAGCTTGAAAACTAAAGTGCACCTGATTGAGGCCAGGGTCTTTTCAGTCACTTATTATGCATTTGAGAGCTGAGCCATGAATAAATAAGGATGACCAAAGAGGGATCATTGAGAAGAGTAATGAATGCCCTATGGACTACAAAAAACACAAACAGATATGCCTTGGAAAAAGTGAAGACCCAGTGCTTGTTGGAGGCAAGGATGACAGAGCATCATCTCACAACATATATCACTGAGAGAGAGAAGGACCTTCAGCAAGATAGATTGACATAGTGACTGTTGGAATGGGCTCAGGTGTGTCAGAGATGATGAGGACAAGATAGGACAGAGTTCAGATATGCTTACATAGGTTTGTTATGAGTTGGACTTTATGTGATGGGACCAAACACCCAACCACATGCTTGAGTTACAGAGCCTTATTTGTATAATAGTCAAGCACTTGGTTAGTAACTGGAATGTTAGCAGTTAGAAGTTCTGTTGGTTATAAGTCAGAATACTCAGTGGCATACATGACTTGACAGTATGGTATTTAAATTTTTTCCCCTCCATTTCATCTAGCAACCTCCTCCTTGCTGTTACTGTTATTTTGTAAAGAAAGGAGCTATGGAACAAACAGATAAGTGCACACCCTTTTTCATTACAGCATTATTTACCATAACAAATAGATGGAAACTGCAAATATCCATCAGCAAGCTAATGTATAAACACACTATGGTACATACAGGCAGTGGAATATTACGCAACACTAAATAGTAATGAAGAATTTGTAAAACATTACATAATATGGTAGACATTATGCTGAGTGAAATAAGTCAGTCACAGAAGGGCAAACATTTTTTATTCCCTATTATAGAAAGGCCCTCTATGAGGTGGATTGATTCAGTGACTGGGGTACTCGGGATGGGAGTGTCAGAGACAGACAGTGTGATTGCCACAGGACAGAGCAGAATTTAGGGCTGTTGTACATAGGGTCGCTATGACTTGCAAGCGACTCGATGGCACATAACAACAACAACAACAACAACAACATTATAGAAAGCTAAAGGAAGGTCTAACACAGAAATAAACATTTTTAGAAGGTTACCAGAAGTGGAAGTGAAGTAGAGGAGAGTAGATAAATAGATAATAGATTTGTATTAAAATGGATGAATATAAAAACCTATAGGATCCAATATGGATTATATCTCAACATCAAGGAAAAAATTCTCATCACTGGACTACATTATAATAGATGGAGAAAATATTTAGCATTATCAATGAGTTCATCTTGCTTGGATCTACAATCAATGCCTTTGGTACTGTCAGTCAGGATATCAGGAGACATATAGCATTGAGAACGTCTGCTGTCAGGGACCTCTCCAAATTACTGAAGAGCAATGATGTCAGAACCTTACTTGCTAAAACTGAGAAGGGCCTGAGCATTTGCTGTAGAGGGTCCAGGACTGTAATCTGCAGTATGAATTGAAGCTTAACATCAAGAAAATGAAGATTCTCACCACTGTGCCTATTGGTAGAATCATGATAGTGGAGAAGAGATTGAGGTTGTTAACAATTTGAGCTTGCTTGGTTCCACAATCAGCACTCTTGATGTGAGCAGTCAGGAAATTTTAAAAAAATGAATTGCATTGGGGAAAATCTGCTGTCAGAGACATCTCTAGAGTGCGTAAGAACAAGGATGTCAGTCAACAGACAAGGTGCACCTGATCCAGGCCATAGTCATTGCAGTTACTTGCTATGCATCAGAGAGCTGGACAGTGACCAAAGATGACAAGAAGAATTGATGTCTTTGAGTTGTGGTGCTGGAGAAGAGTATTGAACATATGGACTGCTAAGAGAACTGTCCTGGAGAGAATGAAGCCAAGCTGCTCTCTGGAGGCAAGAATTTTGAGTCTCTGTCTCTTATAATTTGGGCAAGTAGCCAGGAGAGACCAGTACTTAGAGAAGGACATCATGCTCGGAAGGGGGGAGGCACAGTGCAGGAAAGGGAGACCCTGAATGAGATGGACTGACACAGTAACTGGGGTAATGAGGGTAAGTATGTCAGAGACAATGAGATCGGCTTAGGATAGAGCAGGGTTCAGAGCTATTGTGCATAGGGTCACTATGAATCAGAGTCGACTCAATAGCACACAACAACGAAGTCAATTTTATAACTAAGATTCATCTGATTCAGGTAGTGGTCTTTCAGTCACTTGCTATACATCTGAGAGCTGGACAATAACAGAAGAAGAATTTATGTCTTGGGGAAAGTTCAGCCAAAGTACCCCTTGGAAGCTAAATGGTGGTGCTTCATCCCACATCCTTTAAGCATATTGCTAGGAGAGGTTATTCTTTGGAAAGGAACATCTGCTTAGAAAGGCACAGGGGTCAGCAAAAGAGAGGAAGACCCTTGATGAAGTGAATTGACACAGTGACACAATGAGCGCAAGTATGTCAGAAATTATGAGGATGGCAGTAGATAGGACAAGGTTCAGATCTTTTGTTTATAAGGTCACTATAAGTTGCACTACACTTAGTGACACCTAACAACTACTAAATCAGTGAAGAGAATGGCAATATATAATAAGGCCGTGATCCACAAAATCACTACAAAAGTGCTAAAAAAATGAAATCAGGAAGAGATATACAAGAAATAGAGCCAACAGTGGTGAACACTATACTATTATATACATTGTTGTTGTTGATTGCCATAGAGTCGTGCATGACTGATAGTGACCCTATGGGAAAAGGTCTGAAGCCTTTCTATGACTATTGTCATTTATCCAAAGTTCATAGAGTTTCCAAAGGCATGTTGTTTAGGAAGTGGATGCCACTCCTGCTTCCAAAATAGTTAATAAGCATTAATAAACATTCATCTATAAGCAGATATATGGGCTCTCAGGCAGGAAGAGCAGATAGGGACATGAGAAGGAGAAGATATTTACTGGGTAAAGGGCTGGTATTTCTATATTTATATTAGTGTATGCTGTAAACCCATGCAAGTGTCTAGCAGAACCAATAGGGAGCAAAATTTGTAAACTTTTTAACTATAACCAAACCCCATGGGGGGGTGGAAATCACTGGTCTTTGGAACCATAGACTTGGGGGTATATTAAGGTCACCTTCTACTTTGATAAATAGTGCCTATGGTCTTAAAAGCTTTTGAGCAAATATATATAGACTTATTTGGGAAAGGGGGGCGGGTGTCGAGGAAACCAAACCTAAAAGCTTGCAAGTAACCTAACATGTGACTTGACCTCTCCCTGTCTGGAATAACAAAGAGGGAGCATATGCATAGACTAACCCAGTCCTAAAATTGCTGCTGTCCAATCTGTTGTGACCCAAAGGAACTCTCTATCAGGTTTCCAAGGCTGTAAATCTTTATGGGTAGAAACCTTTTGGTGCTCACTTAACCCACTATGCCCTCAGAGCTCCTGAAAGAACTAATGGACCATGTACACATCATCCTCTGTGACCCTGAGACCAAATGAACTAGATTATGCCCATGCAATTAACTGCCTCTGAAAACCTGCTGGAGGGTCAGCTATGGGCTGGTTTCAACTCGGCGGTACACAACAACAGCAACAAATTGTTCGGGACGGGATTGCTCTTCTTTTTCCTACAGAGCAGCTGGTGAATTCGAAACTCCTGCCAGTAGGTTGGAAGTACAAGTCCTTACACACTAAGCCATCAGAGCTCTGGAACAAAACTTACTCATGTAAAAATTGTCAGGCTTACTTGTCTGATGGAGGCTATGGAATGTCCAAAACAATGATCCCTTTGATACTGGGGGGGGGGAACCTTTTTTCCTCCTCAGGCATCTATCAATCTGCTTTTTTGTTATTCTAAATTAGTTAGCATTTTTTGCATATGAATAGAATTATATCGTATTCACTTTTATTTTTGTGGCTTTGTCCACTCAGTCCATTTCAAGGGTTACCCATTTATATTTTTACATGTGAAACTAGTTTATTCCTTACGTGTGTACATTTTTGTTGATCCATTGACCTGTTTGTATCACTGGGGATTGTTAAGAATAACAATGCAATGAACATTTGTTGACAGGTCTTTGTATGGCTATATGTGTTCTTTTATCTTGAGTGAATGAACACTTAGAATAGCTGAGAATGATAATAGGTGTATGTTTAAATTTGAGAAAATATTAAAGTTTTTCAACTGTTGTGTCATTTTACACTTGTGCTCACAGTGTAGAGTAGTTCTGGTTCCACCATAGCCTCAACATTTGGCATGTTCAGATGTAAAGGAGGAAGTATTGATGTGACAGCATGTCTGATGAGGCCAAACTTTGTAATTGTCTTCTAGATATGAGCTAAGGATATAAACCAATTTTAAATTACAATATTTATGAGAGAAAATATAGAAATTGTTTTTACAGAAATAATTTTTAAAATATTCATATTGGACTCTTGTCACTCTTGGATTTTACTGTGCAATTAGAAACTGACTGGTGCAACATTATTGTTTATTTTTCAGGAAAGATTGTGTTTACCTCATCATATTTTGGAAGAACGAGGTCTTGTGAAAGTTGGTGTTACAGTGCAGGCTCTTCTTGAATTACCTACAATCAAGGCATCTCAGCTATCTACAGCTTGATAGAACATTTCTGTATCATCAATATACTGGTTCATTTCTTTGAAGTGATTTCTCATATCTCAAAATTCAAGAGTAAGAATGTCCCTTCAAAATCATTTAATTAGATCAAGCCTTAGTGTTTTAAAAATTATATGTAAAGTATTAAAATTAAACTTTGAATTTCCCAGATGGTTTTTGTGAGGGAAATTGGATTATTTTAATAAGAGTTCTTGATACATTCAAATGCTCTCTTTCTTGAGTCAGTGAATGACCTTGATTATTTTTTAAAAAGCAGAATGACATTGAATTTGAAAAGTGATTTCAATTTCATAATCTTATTAGGCAAACTTTTTTACATCATAACATACTAGTAAATAGCTGGATAAGGTAATACATTTTTTACTTATTTAAAATAATTCTGTTTGAATTCTTTAATACACACCTAATTTAGACACAATTTATTCAATCATTGGTCTTAGTTTTCTAGGAAAAATCACCAGAACTCTGATTTTATATTAAATTCTTTTAGTACTATAGGTTGGTGCCAAAATCTTTTCAGTTGTACTATAGATTGATTTCATGCCTGTGTAATTAACGACTCTTAAATAGTCTGAAGAATTTTTGCAATTTCTTTTTATGTATTGATAGAGTCAATGGAACTTTAAAATATTTTAGTAGATTTTATAAGATCAATAATATGTGAGGACTTAAGTAAGGCTCACATTGTGACATTTATGGTTTGTATGGGTGTTTTGTTTTGTTTTTTTTTATTTAGTCCATTGAAATTTTCCTTAAATTGGTTATTTCATGTTGTCAAGAAAACAATGTTAATATGCTTTATTTATGCTATTTAATTTTGCAGAATTTAATCTTTTAAAATCTATTATTTGCAGAGTATTTTATTTCTGTAGTGAAAACCTTACAAAAAAATAAGGGTTTTGAGAGCTAGTGAAATGCTCATTGTCAAGGACATTTTGAGAAAACTGCCAAAGTTTCGGTTTATGTATTGTGTTTCAGGAATATTACACCAATCCTGGTTTTAGATAAAAGAACAGCAGTTGAGGGGTAGTTGTTTATTTCCATTATGGCCATTTGTGGATCCCGTAAATTTCATGATCCTTAATGTTGAATTAGAGATAGACTCTGCTACAAAAATACTCATATCTATATTATGTTAGAGAAAATTCTTGTTTTACTTAGACATGGATAAATTTAAGTTTGTAGAAATGCTGGGTTTTTATAAACCGTTGGCTGTAATGAGTAACTTAATTTCCTGTAGAAGAACCTTGATGCTTTTGTAGTAGCCAAGCAAGTATAATATCCTAAATATGTGATTGTTTGCACTTATTACCTCTTAATATGGATGCAACTTATTAAAATTATTGGCCTGAGTATTTCAAAGGGCATATATAAAACACAAAAACCAGTGTGCCAAATAGTGTGCTAAGGAGGGTAGGAGAACTCTACTTTTTAAGATGAATTGGCATGAAGCCATTGAATTGACTTTTTAAATCTGAATACGATTTCTTCATATTCTCCACAGATCACATTAGAGTTTTGAGAGAATTAAAGTTTCCTATGGCAGTAAGATTTTTATCTTACCGTCTATGACATATGATTCTTCAATCTTATGTAAGATTTAAAAATGAAATGATTTGTAATTTATGACTTTAAATATTTTTAAACATTTGGTTATTTTATATTTTTTTTGATAGGAGAAAACCTCATTGACATAATCATTATTCCTTATGAAAACTAGGGTAATATAGGTAAGAGATGGCAACTAAATTAGATTTTTTTTTAGTGTAGAGACTTGAAAATGTTACAAAGAAAGTGACCATTAAGGCTAGAGCAATCATTTGTAATGCTTTCCTAGTTATTATGCTATAGGGTTTTTCTCTTATTATTCAATCAGTAAGTTAAATATTTTGTAATTATCTTCTTATTTCATATCATTGAACTATTAGTGAATTTGTACATTATTTCCTTTCTGTAATTCCCTTATATTCAGTTCATTTTTGCTTGAAAGAGAAAATATACCAGAATCTCAGAGCCGTCTTTACTGTGAAACAAATTTTCACTTAAAATGGATTCATCTGTGGCCTGTACTGTGGCTGTTTACTTACTCTGTACTGCAAATGACCTCTAAGGTATTTTCACAGTATATTCTTCTATGGCAAAGGCTCTGATGTCTTTCTATTAATCGTTTTTAAATGTGCAAATAATTCTAAATTTTTTATTTACTTCATCAGTTACTGACCTAAGAATGACTATTATTTCCATTGGATTTGTGATTTAATGAGCATTGACTAATCAAACAAAAAGATGTTATTAGGCCCTCAAAATACAAGAAATAGCTATGTCTGTCAAATTTTGTTACTGTATGGCACAAGAAAGAAATAAGTGATGTTGGCTGTGTTAGAATTGAACTAATTAGTAAAAATGCATTACTGTTTATTGATTATCTTTACAGAATGCTAGTTTAATGACTTTTCTAACTGAATTTTAGAAAGAATTCAGAAATGTTTGTATTGGTCACAGATCTATGTATGTTAATTGATTTTCTGATGCATTTAAAGATAAATGGAACACTAAATGTATATTACCGATGGAAACTGTGGATAAAATTGATAAAAAAAAAATTGAAGTCTGGAATTTCTTTTCTCCCTGTCTCCTCCCTCCCTCAACATCACAATATTTGTTTTACTTAGTGTGTGATAGCTTTGTGTCTGTTCCTAAGTGTGGATAGTCAAGACTCAAGAGAATATCGTTTGTCTTTACCATATTCTCCTTACTCGATAATGATTTTTTAAATCAAATAATTTCCTAGATGTCACATGATGATGGCCCTTGAGGTAACAAAAAGCCAATGTATAAGATAAATTAACTTTATACATAAGTTAAAATTTATGCAAAATAAGGATAAACCAAATATATTACACCCACCACTGTTTAGTCAGTTCTGACTCATGACACAAGCCTATCAGACAATGAAGAACTACCTGGGGGTTTCCAAGGCTGTACATCTCTACACAAGCAGACTGTCACGTCTGTGTCCCCTGGAGCAGCTAGTGGGTTTGAACCACTATTCATTGGATTAGCAGCTGAATGCTTTGGCTGCTGTGCCACCCAGAGATCGGCCAAATTGTGATTTTATTGTTGATATTATTTTCGTTCCAGATACAGGGTTGATTTGACCTTAAGCTATTTGATAAAGATTCATTTTAAAGTAATTTGTTTAAAATATATATACTTTTTATAACAAATAAACACACATGTGAATAATCCTAAAAGTTTAAAATGTCAAGTAAATGTTTATAAGATAACATTGTTCCCTGGATTTCAGTTAATCCCTTAAAATCTCAGACCTAAATTTAGAGTTAAGGAAGGATATGTTATTTGAAAATAAGTTTTAAATTAATCACCATAATTTCCAGTTGTCCCATATGTTCGTATTCTTCTTAAAATGGTCTTAAAAGTACTCAAGAATCTAGCCCAGAATCCTGAACACTCCTAGATGTCCTGAGGTCACTTTGATCAATCAGTGTGTGTTAGAATAATTTGGAAATGTTTCGTTATCTTCTGGATTTGGTAAATTATGAAATACTATAAACCACCTCCTTATTAGTGTATAAACATTCTTATTCCTGTATTTGTTCAAAACAAAATATGTTTTCTAAATGAAATCATGTGCAAGCACCATCTTGATTTGGGCTTGTTGTAACTCTCAAATACACAAAGCCTCATGTTTAAGCTTGGTCAAAAACTTTCTAACAAGAATGATGGCCAATTTAATATGTAGTGTATACCTTACAGGAAGAATTTTAAACAGTAAAGTAATAATGCCATTCTTAATGAAGTCCTCAGTTTAGTGTCTGGAACAATCTTCCATCAAGGGAGGGAGGGGAAAATTTAGTCCAATGAGTCTATCTCAAAATCTTTGTCTCTGGTTTGTTCCAGTTGTATTCTCTTTGCAGTAACTGGATTAATGCTTTGAGCCCAAAAGGAGATATTTTTATTGATGTAGTTTAAATATTGCTTGGCTGGGAATGCTGTTGTTGTTATGTGTCATTGAGTCACTTGGAACTCATACCAACCCTATGTGCAACAGCCCGGAAACCTGCTCTATCCTGTGCCAACTTTATTGTCTCCGACAAACCTTCCTTCTTTATCTCAGTCACTGTATCAAACCATTTCATCGATGGTTTCCCTATCTTTTCCTGTCCCTCCATCCTTCCAAGCATGACGTCCCTCTCCAAGGACTGGTCCCTCCTTGCAACATGCCCAAAGTATGTCAGATGAAGCTTCAGAATCCTTGCTTCCAAGGAGCAGCCTGGTTTCACCCTCTCTATGGCAAACATGTTTGTTCTCCTGGCAGTCCATGGTATATTCAACTCTTCTCCAGCACCACAGCTCAAAGGCATCAATTCTCCTTATATCATCCTTAGTCATTGTCCAGCTCTCTGATGCATAGAAAGCAATTGTGAAGACTCTGGCCTGGATTCGTCGTGCCTTAGTCTCCAGACTGACATTGTTGCTCTTCAGTACTCTGGAGAGGTCCCTATGTGATTCATTTCTTGATTTCCTGAATGTTGGTACCAAGAGTGTTGATTATGGAGCCAAGCAAACTAAAGCTGTTAACAATCTCAGTCTCTTCACCATCCATCATGATGCTGCTAATTGGCCCAGTGGTGAGAATAAATGTTCGTAAAAATGTCTTTGAAATTTTTTTTTGTTTTAAGTTTATATTGTGTATTGTCATTTTCTTTTTTTAAATTTTTAAAAAATAATTTTAATGAGCATTTACAGAGATTTTGGATTTCCATTCATTCATTGCTGCACTTCTCTCCCCCTCCCCAGTACTCCCCCCAAAGTTCGCTCCTCTCTTTCAAAAGTAAAAGAACGACTCCCTCCCTGGGACACAATCCCCCCGCACCCCTCCCACTGCCCCAAGTACATTCCACTATACAACCTTAATTGTGGACTCTTGTGATAACCATAATACCCTATCATACATCGCTTTTAAATTATTCACTCCCTCATCTGTTTCAGTGCAGAATACACAATTTTTTTTGACCTTCAATCCATGTTGAAGGCTGCAGTGCATGATCTTCTACAACAAGCGCTTTAGGTCCTCCTCAGTTTCAGCAAGCAGGGTTGTGTTGCCTATCAGTCCAGTATGTTCCTCATACAGCCCAGACTACCAGATGATCTGGTCTGCATATAGATTGAAAAAGTATGGATACAGAATACATCCCTGGTGGACACCCCTCCCAATCTTGAGACATGCAGTGTCTCCTTGCTCTATTCTGACAATAGCCTCTTGGTCCATAAGCACAATCAAGTGTTCTGGGATTCCCAAACTTCTCAGAGTCAGCCACAGTTTGTTGTGATACACACATTCAAATGCCTTTACATAGTCAATGAAACACAGATAGATATTACTCTGGTACTAGATTTATCTAACATTAACAATAATATCCCTAGTGCCACGCAGCCTGCACATCTGGCAGTTCTCTGTTGATGTGATGTTCCAGTCGTTTTTGGATAATTTTCAGCAGAAACTTGCTTGCATGTGATATTAATGATATTGTCCATTAATTTCCACACTCTGTCAAGTCACCTTTCTTTGGAATGGGAACAAATACAGAGATATCTTCCAGTCAATTGGCCAGGTGGTTGTCCTCAAGATTTCTTGGAACAACTTAGCACATCCAGGGCAGCGTCTGTTTTTTTTAAATATGTCAATTTGTATGCTGTCAATTCCTGGAGCCTTCCTTTTTGTCAGTTCTTTCAGGGCAACTTGAACTTCTTCCTTCATCACCACAGTAATATGTTGTTTCATGAAATTCTTTTGTGTCAGCCAATTCCTTCCGGTACAGTGACTCTGTATACTCCTTCCATCTTCTTTTAAACCTTCTTGGGTCCTTTAATATTCTGCCCAGGGTATCCTTAAGTATTGTGACTCTTGGCTTGAGTTTGGTTTTCAATTCCTTAAGCTTAATAAATGCTGAGCGAATTTGGCCCTTTTTTATTTTCTGACTCCAGCTCTTTGCACATTTCATTATAATACTTTGCTTTGTCTTCCCGAGCTGCCCTTTGAAATCTTCTGCTCAGCTACATAATTTCTTGATTTCTTCCCTTTGTTTTGGCTTCTTGGCACTCTAGTGCAATATTCAGAGTCTCATCTGACATCCATTTTGGTCTTTTCTTCCTCCTCTGCCTTTGTAACGACCTTTTAAATTCTTCATGGATGACATTCTTGATATCCTTCCATGGGTCATTTGGTCTTTGCTCATTGGTGTTCAAGGCCTCAAACCTGTTGCTGAGATGGTTTTGAAATTTGAGTGGGATAGACTTAAGGTCAAATTTTGATTACTGTGGTTTTGATTTCATTTTCTTCGGCTTCAGCTTGAACTTGCATATGATTAGTTGGTGGTCTGTTCCACAATCAGAACCTGGCCTAATTTTCACAGCTGATACAGAGCTTCTCCAGTGATTCTTTCCACAGATGTAATCTATTTGATTCCTATGCATACCATCAGGTGAAATCCATGTGTATAGCCTGTGTTTGTGTTATATATTTTTTATTGCTGTAGTTTACATGTTGTTTGGCAGGGAATAGAATACAGTAAAATAAGCAGTATGTATTTTAAAAATAATATATTTCAGTATTCAGTAATATATTTTATTTATAATAGCATCTCATTTTCTAACCTTCATTTTGAATCCTTCTTAAAGAGAACTGGCTTTCCCAAATGCTAGAGAAATAACCGTAGGTGATAGTAATGATTTTATTGTTTTTCTAGGGATGAAAAATCACTAAGGTGGTAAGCTTGTGAGTTATTGTTAAATTAATGAAAAGTACAAATAGAATTCAAGTTGCTTTATAGAAAAAGAACTCACCCTCTACTATTTATTCATGTAGTATGAAATAACAGAAAAAGGAGAGATGATAAATTTGGTGGGAAAAGAATGTAAGAAATATCCTCGTTATATACCAGCAGAAGGTCATCCACCAAAGACCAGAAAAAAATAGCAAAAACACAGTAGGAAACCTGAAAAATAAAAAGCTTGTCTTTATATTGTTGCTGTTGTTGATTGCCTTCAAGTCAAGCATGACTTATAGCGACCCTATGAAAAAATGGCCTGAAGCCCCAGTACAACTATTGACATTTATCAAAGACCCTAGAGTTTCTGGTGGCATGATATTTAGGAAGTGGATGCCACTCCTGCTTCCAAGAGTTTACATTAGATATGTGAAATAAGAACTACATTCAAAGTTCTTTTTAATTTTTATATTTACAGTATTTACTTCCTATGGGGAATGCCTGTCCCCATCAATTTTATTATGTAATAAATGCCAATGATAATGAATGACTGTTAGACTTTGTTTTCATAGTTTATAACTTCTGAATCCTTTTATCTGAAGAGCTTTGAGAAGTGCATTTAACACTGTTCACACTGAATTTTGTTGTTTTAGTAAGATTGCGATTTTTAAATAAACTTTAGTTATGCCACCAAATCAGAATTAATGATGAGCAGGAAAACAATTTTGTTCCTAGAAAAAACATTAGTAAACCTCACGTATCTAAGTACAGCATTTAACTATGTTCTCTTCGAAGATCTATCAGTTTCATCTGCTTGAGAGAGTAATTAACTCAATTTAAAGGTCAGAAATGTTTGTTAGACATTAACCATTTCTGTAAATATTTTAAGGTTGCTTTTTAGGTTTCTGCTGTGAAATTGTCAGACTGTTGGTTTAAACTTTAACGTGGCCCAAACTAAAGATTTTTTTTTTATTACGTAAGGTTTCTCTTTTATTTAAAAGATCATTCACAAAATACCATATCCATAGATTTCCTTTCTGTCATATAGCTGAATGTGTGAAGTGTTTGGAATCCCATTCTTACATCTGAAAGTCAACTGGATTGCCCAGAAGTTTAGATGATTTTGTTTTGTTCTTCATTGTTTCCACATTGAAGGTGTAGGTAGGTCATCTGAAAGCATCAGGTTTGATTACAACCACATAATGCATGTCTGTCTTAAATGAAGTATTGGTGTTACACAAATGGTTCTTATCTCAGAAGCAGAGAAGACAGGTGGGAAGAAAGGAGGGAAGCAGAGTTCTGTATTGCTGAGACCTTGTAACGCCAACGTTAAAAGGTTAGCTGTGCGCGACAGCACAGGCCAGACTGCCTGCCCTCAGCGCTCTGCCCCGGCCCAGCCAGGGTCCTTCCCTAGGACTCGAGCTGCTGGCTGACCCGGCAGTGCTTCTCCCAATGGGACAGGCTGGGGCCAGAGGGTTACAGATCGTGTGTGCGATCCACACACACAGGTAGTCAAGCTTCAAAGTGTGGCTGCCAGACCCTGTCCCTGCAGGTAAGTGCTGGACACTGGACAAGGAACGAGAAACTGCCCCAGGGATGAAGTAGCCAGACCAGTCACGAGAGCCACCTGGAAGGTACCAGAATGTTTTGATAGCTCTGCATAGTAAAAATGGCAATTCATCAAGTGAAATAAAGTGCCAATTCTAGCCTCATTTTCACTCTAAATGGAAGGGAAGTGGGGGCACATTTCTCATGGTTACTTACGGGGGAAACACGAGGGAAACACAACACACAGACAATGCAGACTTCTGAAAAGCCAGCCCTGCACAGCTCTTCCACCAGCCCCTCTCCCCAGCCAAACTCCCATCCCCACGGTGGCAGAATTTCCAGCCAAAACAAGACAGCAGTTAGACCCCGGGCCCTCGGAAGCAGCCCTCAGACACCCCGTGCCTGGACTGCGGTTGGGAAAGGGCTGTGACAGAAACACGAGCACGGTCCACCGTCTTCTCACGAACTCCCCCTGCCTCGCAAAATACCCTCCTTCTCTGAGGTTTCACCTTTTAAAATGGGAGCCTATTTTACATGAGTTTGCAAGGGGCAGAGGGGCCAGAACCACCTAGAAATGTGGACAGAGGCAGCCTCTGTGCAGCCTCGATAGACAACTTTTCCTTGCTCCGAAAGCCACGTGTCTCACACTCTGAATGCTGATCTGAGTAAAACCAAGATGCTATTCCATCGGCCTGTGACTCCTTCCCTTGGAAGCCACAGCATCACAGAACTCAACATGCGGGCGGGAAGAGCAGCTGAGAAGAGATGACTAGGTGTGGCCAGTGTGTCCAAAGCCAAAAAGAGGAAGCTAAGGAGAGAGATGAATGAAGCAGCACCTTGGCCCCAAGAGTGCCCTGCCCAGAGCAGCTGCCTTTGCTCCTCTACAGAAAACCATGAGTGAGAAGGAGGAAGGAGGGAGCAAGAAGGAAAAGGACAGCAGGAGAGATGGGGAAGAGGGGGCAGAGAAAAGAGAAAAGCACGAAACAGGCACTCGATCGATACAGCAAAGCCAAGAATGGACTAATAACCACTTGTTAACAGCTGACATGCATTCACAAGCTCTGTGTTTCCGCTCTAAGAAAGGAGGACAAATGTTGGGCGCAGGAATGCTGACTGCAGGGCTGCCAGCCAGGGCTGACCAGGCCGCGGTTTTCGCCAAATCTCCCCACACCCATCCCTCCCGACCTCAGGTTCATTCTTGCTCTTTGTGAACAACTTCCTCTCTGGGCCGGGCTCCCCCGAAGATAGCAGAGTTGGGGTTGGCTACTTGATTGAGGGGCGTTGCGACTGTTCGAGGTTTGAGCTGAAGTCGTGGTCTCTGTGTTCTTTCCTCTTCTGTGGGTTCTCTGAAGTCCATATTGGAGCCATACAGGGGAGGGTCATCTCGGAAACGACTCCCCATTGGAGGGCCTGTTCGCCGGTCAGCAAGGCGACTGCCTCCTCTGCCTCCTAAGAAGTCATCCCTGAAGCCTCTGTCATCTGGTCCACCTTTCCTGAAGCCAAAGCCACCTTTATCTTGCTTTCTGCCTTCTGCAATGTCCACACGAAGTGACCGATCACACAACAGTGCACCGTCATAAGTCAACGCTTCCTTCAGAGAATCCACCTCGTCAAACTCTACATAGCAGAATCCTTTAAATTTGTCTGTGTCTTTGTCTCTGACTAGCCGTACACTCCTTATGCTGAGATCCTTAGAGATAGCATCTATGTCACCCTGAACCGTATTAAAAGGTAGATTTCCTACATATGCTGTGTAGGGGGGTTCTGTGGGCAGCTCCTTCTGGCTACGGGAACCATGACCACCAGCGCTGCCTCGGAACCCTCTGCCGCCGCCGAAGCTGCTGTAGGCACGATCGTCGTAGGTGTCGAAGTCCCCAAACTAAAGATTTTTAAAGTAGCTGTTGATTAGTGTATCTCAATATAGCTCAATGTCCTCCTCCAGTATCTCATTTATCTTTATGTCTTTCAATTTCTTTTTGAATGTCCCCAAATGTAACTTTCTTAAATTCCCATATTTGTGCTTCCCCCCCCCCCGCTTCTCTTATTATTATAAAACTTTGTACTTGGATGGTTTTGCTCTGTAAACCATTTCAGATGCAGCTTGTTTGAAATGCATTATGTAAAATAAAGTTTATTGTATTATTCCTGTATTTTAAAACATCAAAAATACTCCTGCTGCAGAGGGGTGGGGTGTGAAGCAGGCGCAGGGCATGCTGGGATGGGTGCGCAGATGCAGACGACAAGAGCCAGTCGCCACCATGTTTGTGTTTCTCATGATTCGACGCCACAACCTCATCTTCTTCACCGATGCTGAGGAGTCGAGCACCGTCCTGGAGCTGAAGCTTATGATCGAGGGCATCCTGAAGCGTCCGCCTGAGGAGCAGCGCCTCTACAAGGACGGCCAGCTCCTGGACGACGACAACATGACGCTCCTCGAGTGCAGCTTCACCAGCGAGACGGCGAGTCCCCAGGCCCCGGCCACGGTGGGGCTGGCCTTGTGGGTGGACGGCGCCTTTGAGGACCTCCACATCGAACCCTACCCCACCCCGGGGGAGGAGGAGGAGGCGGAGGAGGAGGAGGAGAAAGATGCAGGAAGCAGCGATGGTGAGCATGCTGGGCCCTGAGGGGGGTGACCTCTGTCCCACCCCGCCCCGAAAAGAGAGTTGTGTGTAAAAAAAAAAAAAACAAAAACAAACCAAACACAAACCCAACACCCAACGTTAATAAAATCCCCATGTTTACAAACAAACACAGGTCAGTGTGTTTGTGTGTGTGTATGCGCGCGCATGTGTGTGAATTCAAGGCTACAGCTTTTTTAGCAACATGAACACGTTTTAAAGGGTTTTACTATATGGAAAACCAGAGCTGGGAAGTTAAGGGAAATCTGACAAAATTGTTCTTCATGGAAATTTGACATTTTAAATCTTAGACTATTAGACTACAAAGAGAAAATTTCAAAAAATACTGTGTGATATTTTCTTGGTTTCGTCAATACATAATTTTGATTATTGAGGTTGTAGGGAGGAAATTCATGTATGCCCCATTAATTTATGTTTTGAAAATGTTGAAATAGTTACCTAAGTAGGTGAATAAAATATTATATATGTCGTTGTTGTTAAGTGCTGTCTGATCCAGTACGACTCACAATGACCCTTTGAACCACAGATCTGAACCCTATTCTGTCCTGCGCCATCCTCACACTGCCCGACATACAAGAACCCATTGCAGCAGTCACTGTGTCAGGTTGAGTGTTTTCCTCTCCTTCACCTAACTTCTCTCCTAGCAACATGCCCAAAGGTGTGAGGCGAAGCCTCGTTATTTTTACCTCCAAAGAGTTCTCTGGCTGCACCCTCTCCAAGACGTATCAGTTTGTTCTTTAGGCAGCCCGTGGGTTGGATGTTCAATGCTCTTCTCCAACACCTCAGCTCAAATGCATCAAATTTTCCCCCCTCTTTTATCCTTATTTATTGTCCAGCTCTCAGATGCATAGCAAGTGATAGGAAAGATTCTGGCCTGGATCAGACACACTTAGTGCTCAAACTGACATCATTACTCCTAAATAATTTGGAGATGTTCGTAACTGCAGATTTTCCCAGTGTAATGTGTGTACTTATTTCCTAACTGCTGGTACCATAGGGTGTTAATTGTGGATCCAAACAAAATGAAGCTGTTGACAGTTTCAATCTCCTCTCCATCCAAAATGATGTTGCCTATCAGTCCAGTGGTAAGAATCTTTTTCTTGACATTGAGATGCAGTCCATACTGAAAACTGCATTCCTTGATCTTCTGCAACAAGGGATTCAAATCCTTCTCTCAGCAAGGTTGTATGTCATCTGCATAACACAGGTTATTGATGAGTCTCCCTCCAATCCTGATGACACACTCCTTTTTAGAGAATCCAGATTCTTGTATAATTTGCTCAGCATACAGATTGAATAGGTATAGAGACAATACAACACTGACACTCTCTTCTCAATTTTAAACCATGCAGTGTTCCCCTGCTCTGTATACACAACAGCCTCCAGGTCAAGGAATAGAATTTGCAGGAGCACAATTGAGTCCAGTCTCCCATATAATCTGTTCAATATATTTTAGTTAATGTTAAAAAGAATTTAGTGATTAGCAATGAAAGTAGTAAAAATGTAATAAAGCATTCATCTACCTGATAATAAGAATGAATGAGTGTAATTGCAGAAATAATTATACCAGAAACATTAGACTAAATTATGGCATTGTGGGTTCCCCCCATCCTCAAATACATCAACTGGAAAAGTGCAAGGAGAATTTTAAAAGGCATTATGAATTATTTGTTCTTGGCCCTCTATAAAAATTATGTCATGATTAAAGAGGATAGTAATATTCTGTGTATCTAGTTAAACAGCTATGAACCTACCAGAATCTTCCAGGTCAGTTCTATAACTTTAGTAACGATATAAAATATATTACAGAGTATGATTCAGTAAAACTTTGTGGAGAACGCTAAGATTCTGTGCTAACCAACAACATCTAAAGTCAGGTTGTTGCTTCTGATCCATCAACTACATTGAAGGAATAAGTCTTGAGCATGTGTCTCATTGCCAGCTAAAAACATGGGAGGATTTTATGAATAACCTATTTTTTTTCAGGAATAGGAAACATCATCTCTTTTATTATACATTATGTTTATGTTAAAATACAGGATAGTTTTAATCTCATTTGCTTAATTTGTAAACTCAATGAAAATAAAAAAGGAGCTTACATTTTCTCTATAAAGTCCTACAGCACGCTGTTTTGTGTACATTTTTTAACATCCTGGAAACACCGCATTGAAGCTGCAATCTTGGCTAGCAATGAGGTTGGCAGTGAATATTAATGTGGACCATCGAGTTTTCTTCCAGGTCTTTAAAATACTAACATCTGAAAATACCTTGAAATTTTCCTTCTTATCTTTCCATGAATTTACTCATTTTTTTTTCTTGACTCCTGATTATGGTCAACCTGTGGAAGCACGACTGATACCACAGGAATGTCTATCTGTGCTTCATTGACTGTGAAAAGGCATTTGATTGTGTAGATAACCTCAAATTGTGGCTAATTCTGAGAAGAATGGTAATTCCAGAACACTTGATTGTGCTCATGTGAAACCTTTGCATGGACCAGGAGACAGTCATCCGAACTGAGCAAGGAAATTAGGAAAGGAGTGTGTCAGGGATGTGTCCTGTCTCCATACCTTTGCAATCTGTATGTGAAATAGATCATTTGGGAGGCTGGACTTTATGAGGAGGAGTGTGGTATCAGGATTGGAAAAAGACTCATCAATAACCTGCGTTATGCAGATGACACCATCTTACTCTCAAACTTAAGGAGGGTCAGAAGCATTTGCTGCAGAGGGACAAGGGCTGTAGTTTGGGATTTTGTTTTATTTTTAATAAAATTTTTTAATTGTTATTTTAACGAAAGTTTAGAGAAAAGTTAGATTTTCATTCTGTCTCTGACATTCTTATCTCTTCTCAGTTTCCCCTCCCCAAGTTAACTTTTTGTTTTTAAAAAATATTCACTCATTATTGCACAATTACCTCCTTCCTCTCCCATCCCAAATCCTTTTTGCAATGTACCTTTTATTCTGGGCTGTTGTTATACATATAATGTCTAATCATATATTCCTTTCAAAGAGTTTTTCCGTCAACTGTTCCAGTGCAATGTTCATTGCCTATCCATTTTAGCCTAGTCTCCCAAATTCTCATGTCATACTTGCTTTATAACAATGGTGCTATGCACTATTTGTCCTTGTGACTGAGAGATTTCACTCAGCATAATGTCCTGCAGAGTACAAAACATTACCACGTTTTGTAATGTTTTATGAGTTCATTGGATTTCAGTGCTGTGTAGTATTCCATTATATGAATATACCCTAGTTTTTTAATCCGTTCATTTGTTTATGGCTACTTTGTAAATAATGTGGCAGTAAACATGGGTGTACATATATCTGTTTGGATAGCAATGTGATTTCTTTAGGATATATTTCCAGTAGTACTATTGTTTGGTCAAATGGATTTCTGTTTCCAACTTCTTGCGAAAATCCCACATTGCCTTCCATAGAGGTTGCAACATTTTGTAATTCTACTGGTAGTGAATAAGGGTCTCTCCTCAACCTTGCCGGATTTTATGGTTTGCTGCTCTGTTGAAATTTGCTATTGGTGCTGGGGTGAGATGATATCTCATTGTTGTTTTTATTTGCATCTCTCCGATAGGGATTTCTTCATGTGTTTGTTTGCCATCTGAATGTCTTCTTTGGTGGAGAGTTTTTTCCCACTTTGTGATTGTGTTGTTAACCTTTCTCGCGATGCTGGTGTGTTTTTTAAATTTTTATATGAACCACTTATCAGCTATGTCATTACCAAACATTTTCCCCCGGTCTGTGGCTTTACTTTTTATCCTGTTGGAGAAGTTTTTTGATGTATGTAGGGATTTGATTCTTATAAGGTCCCTTCATGTATTTTGTTCTCTCCTGGTTGTAGGATGTTCATGCTGCTTGTAAGACTGTTCATGCCATGGGTTAAAGGTGCTAGAGTTCTTCCAAGCTTTTCTCTAATAAAGTTTTAGTCTTTTTTCTCAAAGGAAATGCCTTCAATCTTTCTCCATTGAGAATGATGTTGTCTCTTGGTTTTGCATATATACTTTTCACTATGTTCAGGAAATTCCCCTCCTTCCCCCCCTCCTTTTTTCCCTTGAATATTTTAATCAGGAAAGTGTGCTGGATTTTGTCAAAGGTTTTTCTGCATCAATTGATAGGATCATATGGTTCTTGTTCTTTACTTAGTTAATATGATGAGTTACATTATTTTTCTTATGTTGAACCATCTTTGCATACATGTTAAGAATCACATTTTTTATCATACTTAATTATTTTTTATTGATATTTTAATGAAAGTTTATAAAGAACTTGGATTTCCAGTCATTCATTGTTACACATTGTCCTCCCTGCTCCCCTCTCTCCCCAGTTTTTTTTTTTTAATTTGGAAAACCATTCTTTCATTGTTATACATTTCCCACCACCACCACTTTACTATGCAGCTCTTATTCTGCACTCTTGTCAAGCCAATAATATCTAATCATATATTCCTTTTATTCACTTCTCTCCCTTGTCTATTTCAATGCCGTGTCCTGTTTTCTTAGTTTCCACTCAACCATGTCAGTCCTATTTTATAACAGTGGCATTATGCAGTATTTGTCTTTTTGTGACTGAGATATTTCACTCAACATAATGTCCTCCAAGGTCAC